ACCAAAGCGACTGGCAAAAACTGTAGGAACAGAAAGATGTCATTGAGAAACCTTATAGTTTGTGACTGGCTGCACTCAGTCACAAAATAAGACACCGGTACCACTTGACAACACAACACAATGCCAGGAAATCACATGCTGTGTTTGTTTATTTTATGCAGTGTACTTCCAACACAATATATTTATTATTGAATTTTTAATAAATTCAGGTTTAACATATTTTTAAAAGGCCTGTTAATGGCAGAGATTTCAGGAAATGAGAATATACTGGCTGTCATAAAAAAATTCCACTGCAGCCTTAGACTCACCACGAGTCTTGCTATCTCTTTCTTCCACTGAAGGTTTCTATTTGCTTTGGGGTGATGAGTTACGGCTTTTCACCAGCTTGTTAAAAAAAACAAAGAAACATTCTCTAAAAAATGTTTTCACTTTTTGATTTTTCCATTTTTTTTTAAAAAAAAGTCTAAAACATGTTTTCTCATTTTGTCATTGTGGGTTATCGAGTGTAGACTGATGGGCAGAAATTGCAGTTTTATCCAATTAAAATGAAATCTACAGTACAATAGGGAGTGCAAAATATAAAGGGTTTTGAATAGTTTCTGAGGGCAGCTTAAAAAAAAAGAAAGAAAGTGATTATTACCTGTCTTTGTCTTGTAGTCAATAATGAAGTGCGAAAATCAGGCGTGCATTTACCGGTTCATTTATATGGAAATGAATGGTCCCTGAAGGATCAGCCCTGCTTCTCAGGCCCTTAGTTCCTCCACCTTCCCTCAGTTACCAGTGGTTCTACAAACAGACATGAATCCTTAATTGGAAATTGATTGCAAACAACTTTATATGGCTTCACTGTGCTTCTAAACCCTGCTTCTGTGCACTTTTATCAAATCACCCAGCGGGTAGTAACTGGACCAAAGAACTTACAGATCGGTGGGTGGTCTGAGTCAGTCTTAATGAGCTCAGCCGGGAGGGGTCAGGGAGGAGTGCCCATAGGGTGCATGGAAGTAATTATAAAAGTGAAAGCTGGAGTTTATCAGGATCAGTGTGTGTGTTTTCATGGGTTAATTTTCAACTGGTTGAAATGTGCCAACTATTCCAATTAGCATAACATCTATTTTACACAGACTGGCACCTTCCCTGTGTGGGGTAATCAATGAAATTGAATAATGGCTAAATTTAGATAAGAATAAAAGGATTTAATATGATTAAATGCACACACGTACATCCTTGTTTTTGTCATGAAATGAACTCCAATTTTCTTCCTTTTTTGTCCATGTTTGTTTTTTAAATTTTATTAATTTATTTATTGCTTTTGTCTTCCATCCTTCAGTGCACTGCAGTTAAAAAGCAAGTTGTTATCAAGCTGCAAAGCAATGTTTTGCTGCCCACAGCCAGGTGTGAAGTCAGAAATGTTGTGTTGCACCTGTAACCACACTCAGTGTTCTGGGGTCCCTTTTTCCATCTAAAAGTTGTGTGATGTAAATATATTCAGCCAAGAATCACTGGAATGATCTTTAGTGTACCTATGCGTTAGTTAACTCTGATTGTGGAGTGGACGCCTTCTATAATTCCAATTCCTACAAAATACAGCTGGTATCTGAGGTACATGACTTCATTGTCCACAGTCATTATTTAGTGAGACACCCATTCAAAGAGGACAAATATGGTTTAATCCCTGAACTATGAAAGTGGCGTATTTCTTCAGGTGCATGTCTAATATTAATGTACAGAAATCAGTATTGAAACTGCTATGTATGTTTGACCTTATCTGCATTTTTGTTAACTTCAGTTAATCCTTTTTAAAATCATATAATCAGTGTTTTTGTTCTTTTATGAGATCACAGTTAAAACATTTTTAAATGTTCTGCACCTGGTCAAATATCTTCACATCAGAGATGATGGGTGGATAAGCAGCTATAACCTCCTCCTAAAAGTATGAGTGTGCAGTATAGGGAGGTTCAATCAATAGGATGATGATTGGAAAACATCCTGTCAGAGGTGGAATGAAATATTGATTTCCCACCTACTGCGGACTTCCTGTTGTCTTTATTATGGGATGGTGGATAGTCACCATATTGTTATAATGTTGTTGTGATGTTGAGCTATTCTGCTGCCCATTTTTGAGACAGTTACATGTACTTAGTACTGCATTTTCAATAATGAGATAGTAATTTGCATTTAATGCTAATTTAAAGACTTTTATGGCATTTATTTGCAAATTGTATTTACTAGTTACTCTGTTGACAAAGACTTTGCTATGCAAAACATGTTAGGGGCTTATAGACACTAAAGTGTGCTAATACCAAAGTACCCAACGTGAGGTAGCACCACCCAGACGACATTAAAATGCTGCATACAGGTTACAGTAATACATCAATAATTTAAAGGCTCAGTCTATGATTCAAATGTAATTCAAAGGTCAGCCCTGCCCACCATGAAATATTTAAAACATAGAAGTGCAACATGCTCTCACTCCCAAAGTGACTAACACGTTTTTTGATACAGCAATAAACAGTCAACAAAAACAAAATGTTTTATGGGCCTGTTAATGTTTTTTTTTTCATAAGTGCAATAAGACAACAGTGGGTTGTCTACCGAAGTAGAATTATAAGAGCTGTGGTTTTAGTATTATTAAAACTGTGACAAATAGCGTGATGATATTAATTCTACATATCTTTTACTCTCTACAAGAAAGTTGTCCCATTTTAAATTTGTGTTTTCAGATAGAAGGAGAATGAGCGGGGAACATATCAGCCCATCCAGTGGGAGAAGGGGTGATGTATTTTAAGCTACGAGCAACTAATACTTTACAAAAAGCTTAAAAACAACATTAGAGTTCCGTCAACGTGGACACCAATATGACCTTAATCAACAGCCATTTTATCACTGTACTTTGCCCTGGTCTGTGTGTTTGCACAAATTTGCTCTGACCGATGTTTGCATGGGCCTTTAATTACATCTGTTCTTAGGGAGTAATCAACCTTGGCAAATCATCTGTGTGATGAAGCTCGCTGAATACAGGGTCCATTTTCCTGTGCTATAGAGGTCAAGCATGGAAGCATCACTCAAATTAGCCAATTCTCCTCAATTAGTAGTAAGTTATAATTATCAAAGTGATGTTTAAAGCATTATTAAATAGTTCTTGATTGCAGCAAAAGAAAAAAAAACAGGGAACGGTAAAGAAGACATTTTATAACTAAAAGGTCACAAACTATGACAGCAGTCTCAGGTAAAATATAATTTCTCATTGTCAAAATACTGAATATATCTAGTTTATCTTTAATTTTGTTGTGTTTTCCGTTGTTTTTTTTTCTTTGAGGAAATTCACACATTATCTCTGACCATGAATTAGATAGCAGCATAATTATCATGTAGCATCCAAAACAAAGCTCTTGCATGAGTGCATGTTTGTATCTGAAGCATGACCTGGACGAATGAGAACCTTGACCAACCTGTGCATGTTTGTGTTGAGCATCATTGTCTTTGAACAAAACACAAACAAGGCATTATGTTCACTGTCTGCATTTCTGTCTATTCCCTGTCACTTGAGGTAAACAATACACGGTGCACGCACAGACACAAATGCTAGGGTACCTCCATGACCTTGTATCTCTTCAGCACAATGCATTAAACAGTGATGATAGAACTGCTTTGGTGGGCAGCTTAAGTAGTCAGCTCTGAACGTTCTGTGCCAAAAGCACCATGAGGTTAAGCCCTTGTGTACTGAAGAAATATAGGTTACAGATCTGGTGGGCTGGTGTGCATGTGTAATAGTTTGAGCTCCTTTATACATACTCCCTTAATCACTGCAGCCATTAAATGGGAGTTGTTAAAGAACCAACCAAAAAGCCATGCAACTGGCTGTGAGGCTATGCTAAGACAAAGTACTTTGAAGTAAATGCTAACTTTTGCATGCTAACATTCTCACAACGATGATGCTAACATGCTGCTTTTAGGGCAATATGTTTTCTGGGTTTACTATGCTAGTTTAGCCTTTTAGCATGCATTTCAAACTATGCAACTAATGACAGCAAGATTACTGTCAACTGCATTTGGTTGTATGGAACATTTAAAAGGCTGTTTCATTGATTTTTAATTTCAGTTGTCTATTTTTAAAAGCACTTATGTTACTAATATAAATGATTATCACACTCACAACTAGATCACTTTGATATTAAACAAATTTTTGATTATTTTTTCAAAGTAAAAGTATTCATTATGTAAAATCACACATTACGCATTAATTGCGCATTATTTTATTCCATTATTGATGCATCACTGTGTACATCACATGTAATGTTGCAGCTGGTAAAGCTATTTTAACTACATTATATGCTTATTATTTGAATTACTGCTGAGTTTCTAGTGAATATTCCACCAGCAGTTAACAATGCCTTATGATTTTAGTCTCCTCTATTAATCTGATTATGAAAAGTAACTAGTAACTAAAGTTGTCAAACAAATGTAGATGAGTAAAAAGTACAATATTTGACTCTGAAAAGTTCAAAATAAAACAATAAAATCCATTTAAAAAACAGACTAGAAAGAATTATGTGAGATCGGCATCTTGTTTGTTGTTTAGTGCATCGCTACATGCAGGTATGTGGAGGATGAATTATGAATGGATTTCAATTTCATTTCATTTAAGGGAAATGCTCCTTTTTTGCCTTTTTCCGGGTTATTTTCCGTCACTGTTGATTCTTTGATTTAGAACATTCACCCAATTGTTGGTGAAGGAGGGCGGGGGCGAGAGAGAGGGAGAGAGAGAGGCGGTGG